GATTGAATTGCATGTCCTGCTGAATATTACCCTACAGAGGCATAGATAAGGACAGAGGTGCATGTTCTGGTTATCTATAAACATAAACCATTCATTCCATTATTAAGAATTAACATACTTTTAATTGCTAATGTTTCAATGTAAATAAATGCCACAAAAAGCCATTGCAACAAAACAGTATGGAGGTATAAAATGTTAAAATTGTTTTTTTAGTGAAAATTCATACCGTGTTTGATTCTGAATGTTTAACCGAGAAGTGTGTACAATCTTGTACACAATCTTACTCCAGTTATGTTTAATTTCATCTTCAAATGCATTGATTGTTTTGATATCTTGCAGTGCTCTTTGACTTGTTGCAAATGTGCCTTTATTTATATGAGCTGAACCCATGTGTTTGTCCAACTGTGAGTAGCTGTAGTTCATTTAAAAAGACAAGGTCATGTTACAGAGCTGTGCAGTATTTTGACATGTGTTTTTCTTGTTGAGTTTTGCTTGTAATCACACAATAATTGAGTAGAAACAGAGAATGATATCAGACTTACTGGAATAGTCACCCTATGATTATCATGGAGAAACATGAAACAGATGCAGGGCTTTGGGAATGGCTTTTCTTTTCCTTTTTTTTTCTCTTCCACTTCTTTCTTGTATCTTCTCTACTTCCTCCGTCTTCCTCTTCATTTCCTTTTTCCCCTCTTCTGCTTCCTTTCCTCGTCCTTTTCCTTTCCTTTCTGCTTCTTCTACTTCTTCATTTCTTCCTCTTCCACTAATTTCCTTTTTCTTTTCTTCCTCTCATTTCTTTCCTTCTTTTTCCTCATTTCCTACTTTCCTCTTATTCTTCCTTTCCTTTCCTTTCCTTTCCTTTCCTGTCCTGTCCTGTCCTGTCCTGTCCACCTTTCATCTCAGCTCCACTTTTTTCCGCTCCATTTTACTAATTTCTGCTACTTTCTTTTCTTTAACAATCCTTTCTGCTCCTTTGCTCTTTTCCCACTCCTATCCTTTCTTTCTTCCCTCTTCCTTTTTCTTTCCTCTTCCTAGTCTTTAAAAGGTGTTTGATGTTGCTATGCATATAGATGTGTTTTGCAGTAATTGAACTGATATCATGAACCTCTCACCTGCAGAGCAAGTGGATATCATCTCTCATTCTGTCCTTTTAATTTTCCTCCTATCAGAACAAGAATGTTTCGGTTAAACTGGAAAAGAAGAAATGGGAGGAGATTGTAGTTAAACGAAAGAAGGAGGCCGAGGAGAATGTGACCCCTGACATAGACGAAAATGGCTTCGGCAATCTGGCCACCAGCATGGGGCGAGACCAGGAGCGGGTGAAAGATCGTCTGCTGAAGAACACATACTCCAAGAAAAGCAAACGAGTGAGTCTGTCATCTCTTTCTGCAGGCTAAATGATGGAATGCTTGATGGACAAGAGCAGCGGCGCTCAAAATCCATGTGATCTTATACCTGTTCCTGAGTGTTGACGGCTTTGACCGGTGTTGACCAGATTAATGTGGCCATCGCAGTCATTACTGAATGCCTGCTGTTTCTGGAAGGGTCCAGTGAGGTGTGTGCATATGAATGTGACAGCAGTACATCAGCGACTGACAGATTACTGGTCTAGAGCTGTGGTACAGTGCCGCACAGCATGCTGTCAATGACCAAGAAGAACAAAATATAACCATCTCTCGCTTCCTGTATCCATTTTCTCTCTCCCTTGTTTTGGCTTATTTGTAGCTTTTCTTGATAGTGATAGGGTTGAAGCAGAGAAAATGGGATTGGAAAATGTCACAAGCCAGATTTGAACTCAAGTTGCCTTCATGAGCACCAAAGCTTATCTCTTTAGTTACCTAGATTATTCTATGTATATTTCTGTCTATCGGTCTGTCCGTTGTTCTGTCTATCTCTCTAGCTATCATTCTGTCTATTCTTTATCTATCGTTGTTATTCAATCTTTATCTATCTATCTGTCTGTCTGTCTGTCGTTTTATCTGTCTGTTGATCTTTGTATCTATCAGTCTGTCTGTCACTCTGTCTGTGTGTCTGTCTGAATGTCTAGCTGTTGTTTTGTCTAGCAATCATTCTGTCTGTTCGAAGTGCCGGTGACAAACTTTCCGAAAGTGTATAGTGGTTACTACACCCCTGGTGCTAACAGATAATTGGCTAACAGGCCATAACTACAACCCATGATCTTCTTTCCTTCCTTACTTTCTGTCTTCTGTCACTCATGCCAAGTTTTCTAAAAAGACAGCTTTCTGACACCATGAGGAGAGATAGAATATTATCAGGCCAGAATAAAAGCAAAATGGACAGACAGAGCATGGTTCATCCTGCGTCTGTCACTTGCCTCTTCCCAGAGACATCTGATTACCCTCCCCTGAGGACTTCTCCATCACTGTAGCCCAATGCATATAAAGCAGCCTCTCTCCAGATGGGATCTCTCTCTGATCACGGGCCTTTGTGCGTTCGCTCGCACTGGCAGCGCGTTTAAATGCAGTGTGTTCTAGCCCGCGTGGGCGTCTATCAGACTCTCATACACCCGCTGGCATCTCCGTTTCCCTCTCTGATCAGAAATAATGGGGAAAAAAGAAAACCACTTTCATATTGCTGTAATTGCAGAGCGGAAGGCTCTCCACAAAGCAGCCATCTGGACGGGGAGAGACTGTGAATGCGCATGGGCCGCTGTTGTGTGTGTGTGTGTTTATTTTTCCTAGCTGGAGAGATGCAGAGGGACACACACAGCATGTCTCTGTCGGGGCTTTTGATGCACAGCTCGGCTTGATTTCTGTCTCTGAACAGCCGTGATCACACTTAAAGGCAGATTCATCAAAGCATTTAAACGTTAACTTTTTTTTCACTCATGCAACTCATAATGAGTGAGTGGAACATGTTCAGTGACTCAGCTAGTCATATGCTGTCTTTTTTTTAAATAGTAAATCAGATCTCCATGCAGTGCAGCATGCATTCCACACTAGCCCACAGCACCTGATTGAGGCATATTTCTATGTATCTATCTGTATGTCTATCTCCTGTTCTATCTAATTTTCTGTCATTCTGTCTATCTTTCTGTCATTCCTTCTGTCATTCTATCTTTTTATCATTCATATCTGATAGAAAGTATGATATGATCTGTCTGTCTGTCTGTCAATCTATTGTGCTATCTTTCTGTCATTCTATTGATCTGTTCGCCTATCATTCCATTGTTTGATCTATCATTCTGTCCTTCCATCTATAGATCTGTCGTTCTATCTATTGTTCTATGTTTGGCAGATGAATAACCTTTTTAATTTATGGTAAAGTTATCTTTATATAAAAAAAACAATATAAGTCTGTTGTAAGTCCCTATTTAGATAGCTAAGTAAACATCTGTCTGTGTGTGAGAGACAAGCCAAATACTGTTTGACTGAGTGTACTAGGAACACACACACACACACAAACACTTGTATGTTAAGAGTGATTGGTCTGTTGCTGGATCCAGTGTCATTGTCCCCTGAAGCATCAGTATTAAATCTAGCACTGACTGCCTCATACCGGTCTGAGAGAGATGGAGAGCGAGAGAGAGCACCCACCAATTACACAGAAGCACAAAACTGCATGCTTGTTCATGATGAGCTCATGTAACTCTAGGGAATCTTTTCCTTTCTGCTTTCATGGCAGAAACTCCATTGTGCGAAGTTAAACTCATAGCTGATCCAGTAACCGTTGTGCTCTCTGATGTGCTTATCACCCCTCAGGGCACATCACCCACAGCAGTGCTGAGGGCCAGGACACAGCTCACACAGGAGAAATATGGAGATCTTAGCCAAATATCTCTCACTCATATGTACGCTGTAGTGAGGGGTGGTGTAACCTGTTGGTTAAGGATATGGGCAGCTAACCGAATGGATGTAGGTCACCGCAAGTGATCTACAAAGTATTGCCATTGTGCCTTAGACACTTAACCTCAAGTTACTCTGTCCTCCCTGTAATTACTGGAAGCTTCTGCTTGAGTTACAGAAGCACCAGCTAAAGGGCAAATCAGATTAGATAAAAGTGTATAACTTTACACAGTCTTCTTAAAGCTGAAGTGTGTCATTTTTCTCTCCTGCCCCAGCTTAATATGCAGAGACATATATAAGTAAGCCATTTGTATGTTGATTCCATCAAAAAAGTGAAATCACTGACTCTATCAAAACGTTACTTACGTTAGTTAATTGTTCAAAATAATTGCAGATGTTGTTCTTGCAGTTCTGTATTGATGATTCTAATGGCACAGAAATTCCACACTTCACTTAATATGACTGAATTACATGTTTTTGTGCATGTTTTATATATATATATATAAAACTTTAATCTATTTTATCTAAAATAAAAATCATTGAACAAGATGAATTTACTTGTGAAGCAACACTGCATAAGATATTAAGGCTTGTTTTTAGAGATTGCATCTTTAATATGAGTGTATTTGGTCTTACTGCACTGGGAGATTTTATTTAGTATTTTTTTTGTAGTTTTAAGTATAAACAAGCTGAAAATATCTGAGTGCAGTAAGACACAATACACTTATTCAAGATACTATGAAAACTTATTATCTTATGCGGTGTGCATAAGTGTGGCTCTCCAAGTATATTGATCTAGTTTAAAGGATCATTATATGTTTTCACTGCGGATAACAAGTCAAAAACGCTATTTAAAAACCTCATTAAGTCATTTTTTGCAGTGTACTAGTACAACTGTTCGTACATTATGCAACATGCAATTTTATGTAAACAACGTGAAGTATTACTGTAGTTTATCAAGCATAGGCAAACAGTTTAAGCTAATCTGTTGATACCCGATCTGCTGATAGTGTCCTTTATTTGCATTTATTTAATTTATTTTTTGTAGGCAGTATTAGCACAACATTAATTGAGCCAGGCAAATAGTGTTTAGTTTTGTGAATGAGACCTAATCTGTGTTTGCATTGTAAAGAAACATTGACTTAATACAACACAGCCTGGTTAAAATGAATCACAGGTGGTTAGAAATAAGATGGAGGTTTATACATTGAAATACAGTGCACACAAGTGTACAGTCATCTCATTCAATGTGTGCATGTCAGACGGTGAAACTATTTTGATCTGAGGCTGAAAGTAACATGAATCAATGCCTCTCAAAATTTTTAAGAGAGACACACAGAGCAGGCCTACTTCATTTGAGTTTGAAAGATCCTTGTCTCACTGCACATTACTGTTAACAGAACAGAGTATGCACAGAAAATTGAGAATAACCTTGAATGCACACACAGCAATGTTCAGTTTCCATTTTTGGGACCGATTTTTGTAACAGGTTGATTAGATCTTTCTCATGGATTGCTTACTCAAAGCATTTCTGGCCTTTTAAGCTGAAATTGGTTCGGTATTCCACAGCCCCCTGTACAATTTATGCCCTACAGTATGTGACGTATTCTTCAAACGCTCACTTTGTCTAATAGCAGCTGAGACTGAAATGGCGAGCTGTAATTTCACCCAGGCTCAGATGTCTGACGATAGGGATTTGCCCACCGCAGCACTTGCAAGGTTGTGAATTAGCTGCCCGGCCTGTATTAAACAGCCATAAACTATGGCTGATAGAGTCTAAGAAAGGAGAAGTCTGCACATTTGAAGTACTGCTCATTGCTCAGTCTTATATGAGATGATTTCTCATAGTTATGCAACAACGAGCACTGAGAAATGCAAAAGACCAAAGTGTGAAAAAGTCTGTCTGGTTTAGTCTGTAGCTGAACTGTTAAAGAAAGAGGTTAGAGTTGGCATGCTAAGTGCACTTTCGTTCTGTTTTAATGCTGACAGCTTTACACTTGGTTTCCTTTTGCAGTTTTGATGTATGTTGGTTACGCTGAGCTGAGACTTTGTGTTTTCTAAATGTGTATTGTAGTGTGAAAATATACTTTACTCTTAACAGTTTAGTAGTCAGACAACAGTTCAGTTCAACATCAGTCTGCACTGTTCAAGATCTAAATGCTTAGATTGTGGTGTAGTACAGGAGCTGGATCATATTGAAAGCTGGAATGTGGAACCGTTGGTACTTGGCTAGAGGAAAGTTCCTTTGTGATAGCGTAGCTTCAGAGGTGATTTACACACCAGACAGTTTAAGGAGGAGGAGACGGACCACTTGTAAGAATTTAAATTGGAGAAACTGTACACCTTAATATAGTGGTTATAGAACTTACTCCGGGTAGCACTATATTTAATTTTTTGACAAGAACGAAAAAAAGTCTGAGGGATAGAAGTACAAATATGTGATATAGGACCTTTATGCAGTGCTTGCCATTGTAAAGACTGTAAATCTTTTACAGCCTTGTTTTCATTCGTGTTAAAGTCAGTGTGGTGTTTAACCTCATTAAGGTTAAAGAGCCAATCAC